AAACCCACCTAATCAAGACAGTGTTATTGTTTAAAAAACTGTTTCATTGTACTTGTGTGAAAGAAGAAGTAAAATATAATATCATTTCATGGATGTATTAAGCATATGTTTATAATCCTAGATCTGATTTTAAATGATAGTATTTAAATTTGTATATAAGAATGAATGTAAACATAGAGCCATAATACCAAATGCCATGATTGTGGCTGATCGGATTGTTAGTATTCAAATAAATTATCACTTTTATTTTATCTAAAAAAAAAAAAATAATGATCAAATCAAAATTGGCTCCCAAACAGGATTACCAATTGAAGGTCATAATGAGATAAATCCAAATTTACCTACTTTGGGTTAGAGAACTATGAACTAGCAGATAGCTCCTCTATCAGGCTTTAAATTAATTAACAAGTCCAAGATAATTGTTGTTTTTGTCCAAAGATATTATGCGCTCATTAACATTGGTGTGAACAACAAGCTAAATCAGGAGAAACCTTGTTTTAACTCCAATACATAACAGATATTTTAGTGGCCGATGAGATAGTCTTTACCACATGATTAAGGATATGTGTTATTTTTGTCTGGTTCTTCTGCTAATCATAATTGGGATATAGTCCACAGGCAAAAATGCGTTAATAATATTGGAAACCTTATATGCTTGATTCTGGCAGCAAGGTCATCTATTGTTACAAATTCGTAATAATAACTATAATATTCTCGCTCTATAAATGATTATTAATTTTATGAAAGAAGGAGGTATTTTTTGTGTTGCAATCAAAACATTTTATAAGAGCTTATTTTCAGATTTTAGTCTTCGTTTATTTTTATGCTATGACGAATGGATTCTTTTATCAGTCCTATTCAGCGATTCACAAGGCACCGGATAAGATACTGCTTCTTCTGCTCGAAAGTGGACCAAGAGCAACAAAATTGTGTATTTTCTGTTCCATTGGTCTGGAATAGCCTGGTTCTCTCAATTCATCCACCTTCTTCAGAGGGGGTTTCGACATCGCTGTTCTTGAGGATCATAAAGCTTCCCAAGGACTTTAATATGTCTTTTAGTGAAGCTAATTTATTTTTTTCCTATGCTCATATCGTCGGCCTCATATTAAAGTAAGGATTCTGCAACTTTGGACAGGTTCATATTCCTTACTTAACACATGGTGCCGATGATATAGTTTCTGTTTTCAGCCAAGTAAGCGTTTATTGTAAATAATGCGTAAGATTCAATAATATTAATTATATAACTAGTGTTCGCCCAGTGGTCAAAATAGTCCGAGAACAAATAGTCCGATTTCGATGGCTTTCTTTATTATTATTATTTTTATCATTTAGTAGGAAATCAAGAAAACTTTCAAATAAATATTAGTATTATTGATAAAAAATGTGTACTTTTTGAGTTATTTGCAAATAAAATATTGAATTCATCTTAAAAATGTATTCAGCTTGTTTTCGGGAAAGTATGTTATATACAGAAATTATCAAGGTTTCAAGGGGAAGACTTTAGCCAAGTTTCATTGAAATCGTCGAAGCCGTATTGGCGCTACAGTCTAAAGCGGATCACGTTTTTCGGCCTCCATTTCGAAAGGAAAGGCCTGGTGATAATGAAACGTATACAAAACACTTCTAAATATTATTGCGACGTTTTGTCAAAACTTAAAAGAAATCGGTGAAGAACTTTCGGAGATTAGCGTTTTGAACAAACTACCATTTATAGTTTTATTTACATACTATTTAATATTTTTATTTATTTATAACACTAAAGCTCATCAATATCTATTAAACAAAAAAAGAAGGAAGAAAATCGGTTGAATAATAGAGGAGTAAAAGGGGATGAACCGTTTTGTGTTTGCCTATTTATATAATGATGTACATAATACGTGTTAAATCCAGCTGCATTAAGTTCATTTATAAATCGATTATTGTTTATTTTATCATCATTCTTTCTCAATAAAGTTTTGTTTTAATAATTAATAATAAAATTAATATAAATTAGCGAGACATGATCCGGATCTAATTATTAAAGCTTGTGTTCCACGACCCATGAATGAATCGTTAATTTATGAATATTCATTAGTCCAGAAACAAGAAAAAAAACCAGATCAAAGCAGAATTTTGTAGTAAAATATATATCTGACCAAATGTGACTTAAAAAAGTTTTCCTTTTAGGATAAAGGATCTAAAAGTTATATGAGAAAAGGCTTTAGTGCCACATTGGAAACCTGAGATATAACAGCGGCTCTCACTTTAATGTTGGGCGAAATTACTTCTAGTTTTGCGAATGGAATTTAGATTCTTGTATCAAATAATTTCCATAGTTTAGTCGAAAAACGATGTTTTCATTTTTATACAGCGGTTGCATCGAAAAGTGAAACTAAAAATAAAAAAAAATAATTATATCCAGTTCTAATGGTGTAGTCAATTACGAAATGCCACGAATGCAATACAAATCTTTTTAGAATACTATTATTATCTAACATTTTTAATCAGTTAGGAGTACCACACCACACGCCCTTGCCAACTCCATTTAACTAGTCAAATGTAGTTGACAAGGGCAATTCAGTCCATAAAGATTTTTAATTATTAAAATAACCTTAATGTTCCATATGTTTCCGATTTGGCCGAATCCAGATACCTATCCTTCCATAATAAACTTCATAACCATCCGAATCCTCTTGTTTCTAACCTTGCTTCCTCTTCGATTCCTGATAACCCTCCGAGGCGTCTGAAAAGAAGATGGCCTCGTGATCTCCTCATGTAGACAAATTGTTAGAGTGCTACCAATGGGTAGTTTCTCAACAAGCGTGTTTCATGTTATTTTATTCCTCTGTACACATTTACTTGATGTATTCATACTAATACAGTTGTAAATATCATAGTAAAAGTTAAAAAAAGAAATAATAATAATAATAAAATCGGTTTCTTCCCTTGATAATGGCCTAAGGGCTGAAACGTTGGTTTAAAAAAACAAATAAAATAGGACAATAGAGATCAAATATTTGGTATTATTATTACTATTAAGGCGAAGTCCTAACCTACAAATTTGAATACGTATATTTAGAGACCAGATTTTCGTGCAGTAAAAACAGAAAATATTTAAAATGTGTATTTAAAACATAAAAACCTTCAAAAATCCTCTATTTTGTTTAATTTATTATATTAATTAGAGATCAGATTTCCATGTTATAGCACATTTTATTTGGATTTATAGGATTCCGATGTATTCATATAATATTGAAGGAAGCTAGTCAACTGTTCTACATATCATGGATGATAAATATTCAGAACGAAGATTTAAAAAAAAAAAAATAATGTAAAAAAATAAAAAATATAATATAACAAACAATTTAAAAAACTGCGTCCTGAATATTTATCACCCATATTAATATAATAAATTAAAGGAAGGGATAGCACGTTTTTTAACTGTTAATTACACAATTTTATTTTGGGTTTTTACTACATTATTTTGCACAGTTGGCGTTTTTTAATGCACAGTTTTCGGTCCTTTTTTTTTTTTTGCTCGTTCTTTTTTTCGTCCTCTTCTTCCTGGCCTTTTAGGCTATACAGAGTTTTCCTGGGCCAGGGAGTGATTGCGGTGGATTAATGCCAGAATTAAAAGCCTTCCCCCTCTCCCTTTCGGCAGCGGGACTCGAACTCTAAACTCGTAATTATTTTTATTCAACTTCAATCTTCAATCTTTTATTCAACGACAATCTTCCAACAGATTGTCGGGCAACTTGGCCTATATCGTATCTACAGTAACTAATTTTTTTTATTAATAAATTAAGTTGGATAAATGATAAGTCGTGAATGTTATAGTTATTGGAAATCAAATATTAAATTTTGATTTCTATGGAAGTTCGTATTCAAGAGTTTCAAAGAGTTTCTATTAACTTGATTTTTTTATAAAAAATTAACTGGCAAACTTTACTGGAAGGGACACTAGATTTTGTAATTTACGTTGTATTATAGCTCATTTAATACCATACTCAATATTTTGAATATCTCGTTCTTATTTTACAAAAAAAAAAAAAAAAAATGAAATCAAAGGATATATAATTACCCAGAAGTTCGGGCAAAGCAAAGGAAAAAATAACATATATTTGAAGAGAAGAATGGTTGGGGTGGTCAGTCAGAAATAAGAAGCCAAAAATAAATAATAATATTTATTTTAACATTTGCCGACGTTTCGACCTGAAGTTTAGGCCTTCATCAGGATTAAGAAAAGAACCAGATAACAAGGTATGAGAAACATAAATAATGTAGGTAAAAAAATTATTTATTTTTGCCTTCTTATTATAACCATCCTTCTCTTCATTATTCACGACAGTCAACCATTAACCCACTATTATAACATATGTTTGGTTTGAAATTATATAAAATATTTGTTTTTCTCGTTTCCTAGGGGGTACATTGCAACGAATACCGGGACATTTGTTCAATATTTTTCGATTTAATATCATCGAAAAAAAATTGGTATAAATCGGTGATTCACCGACTGTGGCCTCCTATTGTAAGGAACAAAAAAAACATACATACTACAGTAAATCACAACTTTGAAATCTGTTTCTCAAATTATACTAAATGCAGTTAACGCATTTTCAAAACAAGGCCACGAATGGTCTAATTTTTATAAAACTTTGTATTTGTATTTCCATCCCTTCGGAGATTTGAGCTACCTCGTTAAACTCCCTTCGCCTTGCATGCTCTTAGTACAATCCATCTCTAGTCCGATATCTTATGGCCTCCGATTTGCGGTACCCCGATAACCCTCCGTGAGCGAACAGGCGAGACATAGAGTACGAGAGAGGTACCTCCCCGGCGAGTGGTGGGGGTAGGTGAGTCAGCCCCTTGCCCCCAGCGTTCAGTGCTGCCTCCAACACAGTGCCGTGACAGTGCTTGTAGGGAACACTACCACGCTTGCTCCATCCTCTCCTCATATCTCACCAATCAGGATACTCTGCTATCTGTAAGTGTGCCATCTCTGTTATATCTGCTGTTCGATGAAAGGTGGTGCGGTTGCTGGGAGCGCAGCGGTGGTGGAAGCCGGCTGCTCTGCAGCTGCAGCTGTCTCGAGCCGGTATCCCGACCGCACTCAGAGTTGGGTTTTGTTCAACTCCTCGTATTTTTCACTCACATTATCAGTCAAACTTTTTTCAAACACTAACAATTCTTTTCATCGTATAATATACAAGCAAGCCTTATCGTACAACAAATCGTTCCATTATCATATTTGGTTATTAAATTAGTGCAGAGTATATTCACTATTCATTTCTTGAATTTTCGTAGTTCTCAAGTGTTTCCACGGTAATCAACATTATTACTAACATATTAAAAAAATGTTAATAAAGAATAAATATTTGTTAACTGGCAGAAAGAAAAGGCAACAATGCTTTATTGTTCGTGGTTCTCAGAAGTGCTGTTATTTATTTGTCTGCTTTTTTATTTTATTCCATTTTAAATCATCGTTTAAAAATTGTGTTGGAGAATTTGCTATTTATATATCTTTCATTGTGTTCTCAAATCTCATTATCATCCACATTTTTCCTCCCTCCCACCCCCATCATTTCCACGTATAAAATTCTTTTTGAGAAGATCGTGGTTTGGGAAGGCTCTCATAGAAATGGTTGAGGTCTTTATGATTTCGCATTACGGTTTTTTTCTCTTCCACATTCCTTCAGACCGCGTGGTGAAGGAAAAAAGTACAAAACCCTTCCCCTCTTTCAACGCACGGGTTTTTACGCGGCCCCTTTTGGACCTCTGTAGGTCTTTTATCCATGTATCCATTATTATTTTTTTATATTACAGATTGTAGGGTTATTCTTATATTGAAGTAGTGTTACATTTTCACATTTATTCAATAGTTCTCACTCTAGGTGAAAGGCTTATCATTTATTTAAGTTATAGTGTTGGCAATACTATTGAATATATATATATATAACGTTTTAGGAATGATTATTTTTCTTATTCGTTAATAACTCACCACACCCTCTGCATTCCCCTACCCCCTCCCAACACAAAAAAAATATACCCTGATTTTATAAAATGACGATATGTTCTTAATTTTCATGTTATACTTGAACCGGACGTTTTTCCTACTGCTTTCAAATTAAAAAAAATATAAATGTACTTTTTCCTGATCCTTGTCGTGTCAACTTGGAAGTATAAATATCCGTTTTAAAGGGACTGGCCACTCCCCAGACCGAGCCTATTATCTCAACTGACAACGAAGTTGTCATTTTTAATTAATTATCATTTTTATTGCTGACGTTATGTTTTATTGTAGTAGTATATCCCTTTTATAATGTAATTAATTAAATCTATGAATATGTATATAGCTAGCTTGAATATTTAGTTCAAATTTAATCCTGAAAAGTACCAAGTTTCTAAAGTTCTAACAGTAATTTTCCAGGCAATTATTCCAATTTAATTAAACTAATTAGTTGCGTTGCAACAGAATGTCATGCATTCATTGCAATTACATTCAGCGGCTGACCTCGTTATACATATTTGAATATTATACCAGAGAAATATCATACTTAATTTATAGCACATTAAGTGTATATGTATATGTATATAACAGGTGGTATCTTGCGTGCTCGTATAAACTACAGTCGTAGAGTATATGTTTTAATGTTTGTGGAGTCTATTCGTTACAGTTACATGAATCTGTGTTTGTCAGATGAAATCTTAAAATGTAATTCTTAGAAGGTCCATGCTCTGTCTGTCAGAAATTGTGTATGTTTGTAATCGGTACTTTTTATTTTATTTTAGTTTTTTACTGTGAAATGAGGTATGTATTTGTGGAGTGTTTTGTGGTATATATATATATATATATATATATATATATATATATATATATATATATATAATATAAATAATTTCACCTTAGAAATTATTCCAGATATGAATGAAACATATATGCCTATATGGTATATGGTTTCCTATACGGTTATAAAAAAACAATTTTTATCTCCAGTAGTTTGACGTTTCATTTATTTATTTTTTTAAATTTTTTAATGAATGTTCAATTTTATTCCATGTTGTCTTATTTTTAGATTTTTCTAGTTTTAATGCTGATTATAACAATGTTGTTTTTTCTCTTAAGGTGTTCATTGAATTCGCTGTAAGTTGTAAATATTGTGAATCAAATTTACAATTACGAGAAAATTCTAATTTTTAATAAACATTTAGTAATTTAGGATGCTGTTTAGCAGTTCCATATTGTTAATTTGTACTCCTGATTAAAACGTGCCTGAACAATTGGAGCCGGATATCCGCACGATTGTTGGAACAGGTTCCTATGCCACCCTTGCAATTAGGGGTTGGATGATGGTATTGAAATTACCCCTTCTCTGCCACCCTTAAATTTGTCAAATTCATTTTATTATTTAAATTATTTTATTTTTTATATGCTATTTTTTCTGATCTTAATTATTTTGAATCAGGCCTTATGATTCCTGCATCACTAGTCCTCACTTTTAGTTGCATTAATACGGAAACGATCGAGAGAATGCAGAAGAATTTTATGAATGAAATGGTACATTCTTATATAAGATATTGACCTTTCAACATACGGTACATATAATGTACATTCCACATTCATTCTCCCTCGTATTCAGGATAATTCATCCTTACTTGACTTTTTCTTTAACTTTTTTTTTTAATATAAATGTGAATATAAAATAAAAATAATAAGAAAACCTATATTAACTTATGTAACATATATTAATAATAATTATTTCATTGCTTTAGTTCATTACAAAAACAAAACAATAAAACCAGCATTATTTATTTCACTCAATTATTAGGATTAAATATGATTAATTTTATTTTTTTAGTATTCGAAATCATTCTCTTAGGATTATATAATTTTTATGTTATATATATATATATATATATAATATATATATATATATATATATATATATATTTGAAATTAATTCAAGTATTGAAATATATTCATACATTAACTAAGAGTAACTTAGATATTTTTGTTCAAAAATTTGAAAAAATATTTCTTTATTATTAATATTAGTGACACGGTCGTCATATGCAGAGGATGAGAGTTTTGTAATATGTAAATTAATGTAGAATTAAATTTATTATGTTAAATTTTAATTATCATGCTTGATCTACCTTATATACGTGTTAAAAACCTCTAGTACATTATTATTAACACTTTCTTTTTAGTAATTTATCATGAGTATCATTTTGTTATTTCTAAATTTGTTACCTGAAATGGTAGATTCGTAATCAACCATTTCCAGTAGATTTTTCCACTCGTCATATTTCAACCCAGGCCCTTTAATTTTTTTTTTTTCCGAACCTATTCCTATCAGACTGTTTTATGTACTTTATCTTTAAATTAAATCTACATATATTTATAACAATATGAATAAAACTTTATATTGTTTATAAATTTTATCCGTAGTACCTTGTGAGGTTCTTACTTTATTGATCTCTTAGACTAGTCCCCGAACAAATTGAATGGACCTTGCGTTGGCTTGGTTTGCTGTTAATACACCTGCCTTGGATACCACCTATTGTATTGCTGACAAGGATGCCTGGGAACTATTTTGTTCAGCCCATCTTAGCTTAGTCCTTTTGTAAGTCCCTAAAAGTTACCCAAAATATTTGTGGTTTTTTTTCTTTAAAGGAAAGTTATTTCCAAGTTGAGTTTTAAGATTATTGTACATTAAGTGCAGCCATTTGTAAACTCCTATGGGTTATTTCATGTATGTTTATGGTTTCTTAGTTTGTACTTTTCTTTGCGGGTTTCATATTATGGCATTTGAAATACCTCAGTCAAGAATCTAATCTACTGTTCGTTTTTAAGAAAACCCACAAGATTACCTTAAATCAGTTAAAAAATATTCTATTTCTGAACATATTAGAACATCACCTTCTTTGCATGCTTGCATTACTGTACTTTTATTCTAATTCTATTGCGTAATTTATTCGAAAAGGAAATGGGCTTGTTTTATTTGGTATTTGGTTTGGGTGAGTGAGCATTGAATCAACGAATAAGCGATAATCTGGAAGTAAAAAAAAAAAAAATCATAACAAAAAATGTATGAATTTAGCGTTTGTTTATTGTGGAAATTATTAACGGATCGAACTGTAAACAGAATAATGTTATTTGTTTAATTTCGCTGATGTCGTCGTTAGCTTAAACTATTTATTTACTTACTGATTTTTTTTTAGTTCAAAATTTGCTTACAGTAGTTTAGGAAAAAAAATATTCAAGCTTTCAGATTTGAAACTTTGAATGAAGTAAAGTGGTTATTCTCTCGTTTGAGCAATTTCTCGCCATTATGATGAATGTTCTGCTAAGTTGTTGGAAATGGAGTAACAAAGACTGCAGTTCCGTTGTGAAATCTTGTGAAAACTGGGCGACTGCATTCTTTTGCAGCTCTTTGTAGTTTTTACTGTTACATTTTAAATAAAGTTCTCCTTATTTATGTCTGTTAACGTTTACTGTCATAAATACTTTTTTTATTTTATTGAATCGTTTTTTCGAGACGGCTAATCTTTAAAAAATATCCTTCAAAACCCAACAGAGTTAGACAAACCCTAATTTTGATTTTTTTTTTAAATCATTAAATTTATAAACAAATATATATTTTTTTTTATAAAATTCCACTCCATCTTTATAAATTATTTCTATTCATTGATTTTTTTGTCGGTACGCCATATCTTCATCAGATCCAATTATTGACCCCTCATTTGTAATATCTTCTCCTTCAGTTGAGAAAAATAGTCAAATCCTCCCGAAATATCAGTAAAGAAACTTTATTTTATTTTATTACAACCACGATTATTTGAAAGATTACTAAATTACATAAAAAACAAAACAAAAAAAAAAAATGATCGAAATCTATTAGAAATATGTAAATTTAAAATAATTTCTACAAACCATAGGATCAAATTGGGTTAAAATATTTTTTTAAGGAGAAACAAAGTTGTGGTACGTATTTCGCACCTCGTAATGCCCTAAAATTCGAATTTTCATAGCAATAGAAAAATAAAACTTTTTGCACACAGTCGGAAACAAGCTCCTTCCCCGATTGGATTTTGTAGTTTAATAACACACAAAGTATGATAACCTCATCATGATTCCACCTATCCATACAAAGATTAGTGGGGATTGAATACCTCTCAAACTACGCGAATGATACAAGCCTGACCCCCTGTAAAAATGTTAAGAGTTGGAGATATTAAATAAAACGTGTTATAAGGTACCTTATGGCGGTACTAAATAAAAAAAAAAAAATATATTTTCAAGGTTTTAAGGAGTAATCACTTAGCTTTCCAACGGTAATAGTTAGTGTTGCCTAAAATCGGTCTTGGTCTTCCACTTAGCAAGACCAAGACCAAGGCCGCCTATCTGTTGTAAGACTAAGACCAGGACAGGTAAAAAAAATCGATTTTGTAAATAAAAATGAAGCCCAAATAGTTACTAATACTTGACAATCTTAGTCACTATATGTAAATAATTGGTATAACCAATATACTTTTGCATTTAACTCCTCTAATTTTTCATTCGGGCTTAGTTAGGTTTCTCCTGTCTAAAAAATTACAGTAATATTTCTATAGTAATATGCTAATAAGTAACTGCGAGACTCTTGCGCAGCACCAAGACTGAGTTTGCAAGACCTTCGCATTTGGGCTATAGTAGTTATAGTAACATATAATTACGTGAAAATCCTGACGAGTTATGAATATTTTAGTGAATGGCTGGGAAATTAATTCAAATGAATAGTAATGTAGTTATTATTTACCTTAATTTATTTATTATTTCTCAAAGGTTTTTTTTTTTTTTTAGTAATATTACTCAAATTTTATATTTTATTTCCCTCTGCTGTTTTCCATAGGAGCAGACTACTTATTGCAGTTGCAGACTACAAAATGCCATTTTAGCACAAATAGAATAAACATGGAAATTTGTTACATGCTATCTTTTGCAATAACAGTAGCGATATATAACTATATGTATAAAACTATGAAATATGAAGGAACTCCACAAAAGAAATCGAGGCAGGTGATACGTTGATTGTTTAAAGGTCCAATATCTCCGATTTATTAGTTACCCTGCCGGTAGCTAATTACTGATTAGGACATTAGTTTTATTATATACATATATGTATATATATATTTTTTTTTCACACACATACCTGTATATGTGTTTATAAATCTGAAGAATTGTTAGTTTGACTCTTGCAGTTAAATCACTCGTTGACTTAATGTTATCGTCAATACAACAGTTATAAATAATTCATCAGAGAACATGGAGGTATGGGGCGTAGACTGTTCTCAAAGTCCACATTACCTGTTGGAAGTTTCCATGGAAACCCCCTCTTATTTGCACGTGGAAAAACCGCACACAGCCCCAATTAGCTCTCGAGTCCTGGGCTGACAAACGCTTTGTCTTGTTCTGTCTGTGTCCTATCATCCGATAGCTGTTGGTCATTATTTTGCGAAATAACCTTTGAGGGAGTATGTAACTATGTCAATTCGTTATAACTAATTTATATATATATATATATATATATATATATATATATACACATATGAAAATTTCATAATCATAAGCTCTAGTCCCCAACGTTTATATTTAAAATGTGTCTTATTGCCTTTATCATATTTATCTAATAAATTCACTGTATGAGGGAATCTTGCAATTTATTTTTGTTAATAGAACTGTGCCTTCATCTCGCTGAAACGTAAAAGAACATTTTTACTTTTATTATCTTTGCATATTTTTTATTGTAAATGTTTCTTAATAAGTTTGCGTGACAAGTGCCATTTCGTTTCTCCTCGAGTTCTTAACCTATGTCTTTGTCAAGGTCAGAGCGTAATATTTCTAAGTCGTTTCACACTGATTATGATTTTTTAATTATCGTTGCACGGTAATCGTGATGGTTACATTGAGTGAGTAAAAGACGTCTAGGAAACTTGAGGCGGTATACAGCAGAAGATCAAAGTGAATTATTTATTAAATAAAGAAGCAGACAACCTTTAACATAAAATGATTCTTGTAATACAAACAAATGTATTATTATTTTTACTTCGATGCAATGCGAAGTGCCATGTTGGGTTGCGATTTTGTCTCAAAATCCTACTTAAAGATTTCCAAAAAAAAAAAAAAATTTCGGAAAACCGTCCGTAATCCGGTTAAGATTCTTCCGATAGGCATAGATCAATTAGTATTATATCTTTGGTGCAATGCAGAGTGGCATATCTTAAGATATCAGGAACAACGAAAATTAAATTTTAAATTATAGTTGTAAATGAAAGGCAGCTAATTTGTTATTTAAATTGGCCGTTTTTTACGAAGTACTTTTGTCTTGCTCGTGTTATTCTTATTCAACGTTTTAAAAAAAAAAATCACTATCCGAACGGTAGCAAAATGTTTGCATTCGCCACGGTTGGGTATTAGGCATCATGTGTTGCGCAAGTTGTGCTATCAATATTTTTGAGGTAGTACCGTTTTATGAGATTTTGGTTATTGAGAGGAGATGGCGCATTTTAACGGAGTTGTGAATTTTTGGAAGGAACCATATTGTGAAGTTTAATTCGGAGGTTCATTCAAAGCAGGAAACATGGAACAGCAAGTGTAATTGTATATGATCTTATATTTTTCAAATTTAATTAGATATTTTTATAACAGAAGAGATTAATACAATTCTTAACAGGGTATAATGTTTCATTGACCTTGGGGGAGGGAGGAATTAGTACCACCGATAGTTCCATAGCTCTGACTCGATAGTTCCTATAATATCGAATAGCACCTATAATGTGGATAAACATTGTTATCGTTTCATATTAAATGATCCCTTTTCATAAAATATAGCGAGGTATCATTGAGCTCCTGTTATATACCCAACTGTTGTTGTCCCTTATTTTATATTCCTTGTAGTTTCTAATTAAATGTTGGAAAAAGTCCATAAATTGTTTGGAGGAGGGGGGAGGGAGGGTTATTTTACATGCCCTTGTTGTTATAGTTTGGACTGCCCCTGGCCCAGAAGACGCCACACACGAACGGAAATATGACGGAGTCAAGGCCGCTACGTCCTCCACGGCGATTCTTTCTCCTCGCCCTCAACTTCGCGGCAATTACGTTGTAATGCCAGACCTCATTTTTTTTTTCCTTCTTCCTTCCCATCCACCTCTCTCCCATTCTGCGCCATTACTGGTTCTAATTTTGGAACACCTTGATTGAAGTGAAATCTGGAACTGTGTATTAGGAATTCCGTGCACAGGCATTTTGGAAGGGGATTGATCTGATGCATGATTCTGGTTGTTTCTTCTCTCAGATCAGCTGATCGTGGTTTCACTATGATACCATTAGGATTATCGTGAATTCAGCCTGATGAAATTCACTAGAATAAACGTCAGCTCTTAACCATATCTTGTTCCGAACCGCTCCCATCTTTTTTTTTTTATCTTTACAGCTCTAGTTTTTCTCTAGTGATTTCTGCTCGCACCGTATTTCTTCTCTCTTCCCTTTGAACCTAGGACAAGATAAAAAACTGTAGACAGTTGAAGCTCACTGGGGCGGTACCGTTCCTCGCTCTAAGAAAGGTGACCCTGGCAACAATGGAAGAATGGGACGTCATTGCTGTTGTACGGGGTCATTGCCTAAGGTAAGGGTAGTGGATGGCCAACGTAGAAGGTCGTATCCTATGTAACAAGTCGCTTATAGGAAGATAGATTTTTTAGGATTTCCAATTAAACTACATTTTGAAACGGTATTTTATAGAATATCAACGTTATTCAATTACATTATTCAATAAATATTGAATAACATTTTGCTACGTCTAGGTGTTCTATAATGATCTAAATCCAAGTGACCATGGTATGACAATTTTACGTCATCTCTTTAAAATATTTTACTCACTTTATCTTAATTCTGCATAAACTGGTTTGGATGATAACAAAGCCATGAAATCCACCTGCAACGCTTATTTTTATTCAAAATCACTTGACTAATTTCGGTAATTGAGTATACATATGATAATTATGGGCTGTTTAATTTAATGACACATTAAGGTTTCGTAAAAGTTCATAAATGAAATATTTATGATGTGCTAATCTGAGTTGATTGATCGGTTAATGGAGCTGAACTAGAGATTTCTTAAGATCCATAGCTTATTCAGCTGCATGTTATTACCTTGAATTAATTTTTATTGTATTCGGAATAAGCTAATTTTTAAAAAATGTATGACACTCAAGAGTATTTAAATTACATACTACATTCGTTACTTTTTTCCCTCCTTTGAGTGGAAACAAAATTTTCAAATAAAATAATAAATGTCTAAACAATTGATTAACAGCGATAGGTGGTTGTTAACAGCCCAACGTTTTATAAAAAGTAATTTATGAAATAAAGACGAATTACCCGCTATTAAATTAATTGCCCTCTCTTCTAATTAATTGATCTTTTCTGGCTACGCCCTTCAGTTGCGCCCTTGATAGTCAATTCACAATGTATACTGTCTGTGTATTTATATATATCTATACTTTTTTCTCGTGACAGTCGTTATGATCTGTCACGGTATACCGTAACTGATTTACGTGAATATAACTTCGAGCATTTAGAATTGAATATATAATAATTCGATTATATTGCGTGTCTTCCGCTGGTACCGCATTTATTATTTAAAATTGAATTATTGTTTAAGTTGATTCGGTAATTACTTATTATTACTGGAAAAATAGTGATTAAATTTTTATTACCTAAATCTTTAAAAGCTGGAAATTAGTTTAATAATTTACTTTAATAAAAGCCCTGCTGTGTAAAGTATATAAGAATGTGTGACTTAGGCTTAATTTGTTGATTAATTTTCCTCGGCATTAAATGTCATTGCCGACTGAGGTCAGTTGAAATGTAACCCCTTGCATTTTTGTGACTCACTGGAAAGACCTTCGCTGCTATGAGTTGGCACTTGCTCCTGGCCTTGGTGTCAGTTAATGGCGAACGGTTATCGATGTTATAATCCGAAACCAAAAAAATTATACCAAGGTTAATGTTAATTTGTCTTTTCTAGAATCAGGTAACTATTCACGAAATAAATATATGACAATTTTTTTTTAAAGTAGTCTTTCTGAATATACGAGGTATCACTCACTACTTAACCATCGATTGGCCCTTTTAAATTTATTTATAAAATTTCTTGGCTCAGTACTCTTCAAGAAAATAAGGTAGTGACAATGGTTTTTTTGTCTAAGTATTGGGTTGGCAAATCAGTTAATAAATTTTATTTCACTCAACAAATGATTTACTATTTTTCTCAACTTTTCACTAACTGTTTTATGCCACCTTCATTGAACGTCTCAAGTTTATTGTCAAAAAACTGACCTAAGTGGTTTTCGATGTCCTAAACGTATGCGTATTCGATGTGTTTGGTTAAGGGATCTCTCTTTTTTGTTTTTCCTTATCCTTCCTAGCCATTTCTGGGATACTATACCATAAACACTACAGCTATTTTTATGATCTTCTGAGCTCGCTTACCTTTTTTAAAATGATACAACGAAATATGCCGGTAATGAATATTATATTTTTTTATTATATTCAGAGTGTAATTCAAACATGCTGATCTAATTGTAACTAGAGTTTTTATAGAAATTGTTGTTGAAATATTACAAATATGATAAACTGTCTACCGTAAGGATTGATTCCTCAGGTAAGAAGTGAACGATAGTGGCATAAACATGAACAGAAATACCGAAAACTATCTATTTGCCTGCCCAAAGTTGTCGAAACACTTGTATTTAACACCATTTTCTTTTTAGGATGATTTTTATGCAAAAGGGTTCTTATTGCTTTCCTTTCTAATGACTCCACTGCTTGTTAACGTGGACCATTTGATATACGGTGGAACAGAATTATGTTTGATATTGTTATGTTTATGTTGTATCATATATTGTCTACTCGTCAGAGAACCCCGTCAAGGATGGCATGCTAACCGCTACGGTGTTACGCTTCTGACAGAAGTAGGTGATAAGGTGTTCTCCCTCAGGAGACGACCGTTATTCCAAATTGCTTCATAAAGAATACAACCTAGATCATTCTTGGTGGACATGGGCAGGGTACGGTTCAGCCAGGCTACTACCTCGATCCTCCCGAGTCGATACTTTTTTCTCCCGGGGAAGATATTCGATTCTTCCCGTGGGATTTTCACTTCTTGTAAGTCGTCGGGAATAGAAAAAGACCCACGCGGAGACCAAGGCCTTCTGTATGCAACCTGTGTGCTTTCCGGGTCGAAGATATTTTTCTGCGGAAAAAAAGAAACCGCCTGGCATTACATTTCCTGCGTTGCGAGAAAGCTTCCGTCTGGAATGACCTTATTTTACTGTTGGTGTGAGCTTCTATAAACTTCTGAGGTGGATGGCTTAACTTAATTGACGAATAAACTTATAATTATAAAAAATATGTAACTCATTGTTTCATGAAAGTTAATGCGAAGTATTGCAATTGTAAAAAATAGACCGAATTCAACTTTTGAACGGAAATAAGGGTTTTTAAGAACAGGCCAGAAAACTAAATTTCGCACAATTGTCTGTATGTGTGTATGCATGTGAACTATCTAGCTTGAAAATAACAAAAAAAGAGACACTCCAGCGTACATTTTTGTTATAAAATGGGATTCGAAATTTATTTTGAATTGACAGTTTTAATTTTCAGATTCGAAGAATAGTGTACGAGTATGTTAATTAAAAATGCGGATTTGAAATGTTCCTTGATCGCAATTATTATTCATATAACTAGGAAAAGTATTGCGATTTTGAAATACACGTTTTAAACTAAGTTAAAAAATTTTCAGCATTAATTTAGTTCAGGAAACGTCAAGAAGTAGGGGAAAAATGCAATTTTCCCATATAACTGTAACTGGGGTGCTTCCCTCTCTTCCCCCAAGGTCGATGGCACATTGCCCTCCTCCAAGAAATTTGATTTTTCTTCTCTTCTTAAGAATACTGCAAAAGTAGAAAGTGGAAAAAAAATGAAGATCTTAGGCTTGCTGTTTTCTCCCTTGTTTCCTGTTTTGAAAGTTTCCATTAATTGGAATCCTATAAATATTTGGTTCCCCCTGTTTCACATCTCTGTCAAATTTCTCTCCCTAAAATTTAAAACCCCTTAAAAATGTATCCCCTCAAAAGTTTCGATGGCGCAAGTTGTGCATTGATGCCACCCCTTCTGAGCACCCCTGCTTTGACGTAAACTTTTGAGCGTATCCGACTTCAGTATTTCTCACTATATTACTTTCCTGCTCTGTTAGTGATTAAAGAAATAATTTATTATTTATCCTATTTTTCGGATTTCTGCATTATGCTTGCGCTCCTTTATACGCCTTTGTTCTATGCTGTACCTAACTTGAGGTTTCTTTTAAATGCCTTCCTTACGTCATCTTTTATTATCCTCATCCTTTCTCTACGATTATTATGCTAATCTGTCATAGAGACCTATTGTTGAATGAATCACATTAATTCTATTGTATTTTAACTTGCTCTTTGAAAGTAGATAATACCATGAAGGTGAAATGCAGAAATTGCTAATCTAGCGGGCGCCACATTGCTTAGGCTCCAGCACGGCTGTCTTCCTGTACAAGATGTGTCACTTCCTTTCCCATACTCGATGGCATTTTAATAAGTGTGGGTGGGAAACATGTCCACTCTCGTTGTCATAACTGCTGATACACCAGAGGAACGTCGTAAAACATTTTATTATCTTGAGAAAAATCTTATATTTGTTTTAAATAGACATCTGTCTCAGCCATTATATCCCAGTTTAAAACCCACAACTATGATTCATATTTATAAATAAATACGTAATTATAGCTCAAATTTCATCAATGGACATAAGGACCATTTACTTTCACGTTAGATTGTTTTCTTTGAATCTAAAATAATTCTAGTTCTATTAAATTGATTGGTTGCGTCTTTAATTTTTTATAAGCTCGGTACTTAAAAAATAATATAGTTCCTGGATTCTATCAGATCTAAATTCCTCAACTGTTAGACTTAGTAAGTTAGTCCAAATGTGAATTATGATGTTCTATTATTACGCTCTCAGTTGATATCCTGGCCGGGCATTAAGGTTCTCTTGACAGAAAATTAATGGCTTTGTCTGAGTAGTATCGTTTGATAGGTCCACCCAACCATACTAAGTGTTGAACCATAACTCAGTTGATAAATCAGGTGGTTGAAGCCCAGTAGTAACTGCTGCTTAACCCTGTTCCCTGTTTTTTTCAGGTATACCAAATCTTTTTTATTTATGAATTTGCTGTACTGAAACTTTAGAGGCATTTTATAATTTCTTGCGATTTTATCTTAAATGTTACTGTGAAGGTATCCTCTGGGATTCAAGAAATATTCTTGCAGAATTGAGTTTGTGGATTTAAGATGACGCTCGGTTGATTTTGCTGGAAGCCCCTCTAAGCAGCTGTTTCTTAACCTTTCTTCTTATCCTCGAGAAAACTTTGTCTCACTTAACTCTTTCCTCTTTTTCTGTGCTTTGCGGTTTTCTGTACCATCGCTCTTCCAGAACGGGAGTCTCGCTTTCAGCAGATCTGATGTAGTTGTCAGTGTTTTCTCATATTTTGTTCATTTCGTTTTTTTTTTTAATTCATAAAATAATAACATCATTCCTGTGTTCAAGGCCCACTTAGATTGGGTTTGTATAAAATTTATTCGAAAGAGAGATCCACATTTTCTGTCAAATAATCTTGTCACCCACATATGGATTGGTATTGCTCTTCGTGAAAAATTTAATATCTTTTTCTTCATAGTGCAAGCCGATGATTAAATTTAATTAAATGATAAAGACTTAAGAAGGAAATTTTTATTGATAAGGATTTGTTAAAGAAGTATGCTTTGTTTAGGTATTCATGATTCATTAAAAAGGCATCTCTTAAATGTTTTCCTTGTTGTGGTTGACAGTTGGTGATCTATTGCTGTAACTTCATGAATAAATCTGGAAAAATGTCATGTTGGTTACGTGTCACTGCACACACGTTTTTCTTCTTTCCTTTAATAATAAATTTTCCTCTTGTTCTTTCAATGTTATAATGTTATGGTTTATTTTTTATCTATCTATGAATCTTAAAAATTGTTTATTTAAGACTGTTAAGTTAGGAAACTGAAGGGTTAGGTACCAACCCTTGCTAAAGAGGCGTGAGGAGGTGAGTCAATGGTCTTGGCGGTTGAGTGCAGCTGCCGGCTGTCCTTGAGCTACCTACCCCTCTCCGTGACTTGATATTTTTCTGTCTTACTTGAGTAGCCATTTTGACAGTTGATTTTTATTTTATTGTTATTATAATAGAATATATTAACAAAATATTATAATAAAATTCCTAAGGCCTTATTTATTTTGTCGACTTGTGATTTCCCTGAGGTCGTTTCATATAAAATTCCCACTAGTAATTTATAATCATGCTAAATTGTATTTGTACTTATTTTTTGAAATTAATATTCAGTATACAGGATGTCCTGTAAATGGAGGGAAATATGGAAGTGACTGCAGACCTCAATATCTACAAATAGATTTATATAAGCATCGCCAGAAAAGTAGGAAATTTAAATTTTTTAATTTTGATTTTGTGATTTTACATCATTTCTTAAAAGTAATCAGCAGGTTTTTTATTTTGGACGTAAATATTAGGACTAAAACATTACTTGGTCATTTATAAATATGGATCAATATCTATGGCAGTTATCTGGATAAAAACCAAAGTTTTTATACCACTTAATCGTTATTTTTTTGCAAATAAATTATATATTTATAAATTATAATATTTATAATTTCAGGTCATGGAAAAACAAAACATGAAAGTTTTGTAATAATTTATTGTTGAATTTTTGTACTTTTAGGTGACAGGATACAAATTCACATTTTTTTTTTTTTCAATACTTGAGGTGAATTTCAATTTTTTTTAAATAAACCTCAACTTAATTAATATGGTCTTAAAGCTTATTGAACGAGGAAGGTTTTCTCAAAAGCGAGATATATGTAGTTTAGGTGGATGATAAAAAAAAAATCACGAATAATCTATGATTTTTTTAAACCGATCTGACCTTAGTTAAACCTCTCAAAAGTCCTTTTTAAATGTTTGTTTTTTAAAAATGACAAACTCTATTTTAATTTGAAGTAAATGTTGTTTACTTTACTGCGAAGCAATGGTTAAATGTTTAAATTAAATATTTTATTATTTATCGCTTCTTATTCAACAAAAAGTGTGACTTAAAAAAACACAAAATTTAAATTTCCTACTTTTCTACTCAAAATCGGACCAATATTTATTAACTTTTTTTGTAGGTCTTGAGGTCTGCCATCACTCATACAAATACCTCCCCCTACTTACGAGAACCTTGTATATTTATTTTCTTGCGTGTTTTTTTTTTTTTTAATCGTCTAGAACTGTTAATCTTCCTATGGAATTCACCGACTCGTTCCTAAACTCAATACAATTCACTGTCAGATTTAATCGATTAATGAAATCCATCTACGAAATTAGCGCTGAGTTTAGAACTTGTCCAAGTTATTATTTTTTTTTATTCTTTACAGTGTGCTTAAATCAAGTTCCGTTTGCTTAGATTCGATTGCTTGTGCCTTGTCTGCTATGATTGCTACTATCAAAGTTCTGCTTGTATATTTCCTCATCTAAAAACGTAGTTTCCTTTCCATGTTCCTGCCTAATTAATAAATCCTTACCACTTTTAGTTCTGCGATATCTCATCTTTCCCTATCATTTATATGAGTTATAATTAATGTATACGCTGAATACCTCGTCAAACTATTATCAGTTGCCAATATAAGTGTTTGCATTATATACGGACATGGGCCCGGAGGGAGCGACATACGGCGAACAGGCGCTGGTCACACGCCAGCAGCCCTAATAGAAAAACTAATGAGACTATGCTTTTGTTCCTACTGTTTGTATAGAACCGGCAGTAGCGTAATGAACCCGGTTAATGGGGTATACGTCGCCTTAATGGGTAGCGAACAAATAAATATATTTCATGTCACTTACCAAATCAAATAGGACTTTTCGTAT